TTTCATGTTTCTCTTTACTACTTATACCACCATATCATCTAGTCAGCTTTTCAGTGTTTTTTGAATCATTTTTACATAAGCATTTTGTATCACAAAATATATACACAATGACTGCCGCGCGAATGGGTTAATATTCTAAAGTACTCTAGAGCAATCTGCTATCAGATATTTTCGTTTAGACGGAAAAGAACTTTTACTAGAAACGCTATCAGATACACTTATAAATACATTTAGATATGATCCAACTAGAGAGATTAAACTCGCAGAGATATTAGAATTCCGTTTAATCATTTAAATGGTTCCAATTTAAATCGGAACAAACTAATTTCACGACAATAAAGTAAAACTCATCGTGATTGCTTCAAGCTTCAAGCTTTCAATTGAATTTTATTAAACTAGTTGTTTTCTCTGTTACACACCAAATTACCGGTGCGTACCTTTCTTTCTTTCTTTTTTTCACATGAAAAAATGAAAAAGAAGTACACGCTTGAAAACAGAAGAAAAGAATATGGATAAACGATTTTCCTGTATTCCATCTATGCAGAGCAAGTATGTATCATGTATCTGGCTACGAAACGAATCACCGGTATACAGCGAGTGAATCAATTTCGTTCTATTATTACGATTGGCTGACGAGATGTAATGGTAAAAGAAGGGAATGACTCACTTGCCGGCCTGTGACACACATATGCGAATACAGCCGCGTTCCCGTATGCACATGTGGCAATAGCCTAGCCGTACGTGTCCCCGCGAAACTCGTTCGAGTCCTAGCTTTAAGGCATGGATAGCACAAGAGGAGGATCGGTCGTGCTCCACCGCCGCGCAGTAATCGCTCTATCCTCTTCTTCTTCTTCTTCCGTTACTCATCATCGTTCTTCCGACTGCGGCGAATCATGCAAATCACGTTTTATGGATAAACGTATATTCGCATACACTCGTCTACGTATCAACGTTCTTACGTTTATTTTATTCGATTTACCGATCGCTTGCGTAACGCGCGCGGCAGTTTCGATTTGTTTCGCGGAAGTAAGGAAATACTAAGGGACCAATTGGCGATGTTTGCGCGGCGCTCGAACTGGAGGGGGGGGGGAGGTTTCCTCGTTCAGTCCTCGATCTCGAGACGAAATTCTGCATCTAACAACACATTGTTGACCGGCAATTTTACGCAGAAACTATGTCTCATGTCACCGGCTATTATTTCGTAAAGTGAAACAGTCTAGATAAACTTCAATATACTTTATTCATACAGAATGAACTTAAAGAAAGC